TGGCTCAGTTTGTCATCTAGCCTGAGCTTGGGGGCCTTGAGACAAGCTCAGTCACCCTTAACTTGTGCTTCTCTGCCCTGTTTTTGCAGGGCAAAGACCAAAGAGCTGTCCAGACTCTGCCCCGTGCACAGGTACCTCAGCCCCTTTTTCTTCCTTCATAACTCTCAGTGCCACTTTTCCTCCACCAGGGCAGTAAGAACAGGCTCTGTTGTCTTTGCAGACAGAGACAAGCTGAGGCTCAGGAACGGAGACAACAAATGCTCAGGGAGAGTGGAGGTGTGGCACAAAGGCTCCTGGGGAACAGTGTGCGATGACTCCTGGGGCCTGGCAGAGGCCGAGGTGGTGTGTCAGCAGCTGGGCTGTGGCCCTGCCTTGGATGCCCTGGGAGAAGCTGCATTTGGCACTGGAAATGGAAGCATCTGGCTGGGTGATGTGGAGTGCCGGGGCTGGGAGTCCTCCCTGTGGGCCTGTGCCAGGGCACCCTGGGGAAAAAGTGACTGTAAGCATGAGGAGGATGCAGGTGTGAGGTGCTCAGGTGAGTGTTAGTGGCAGGGGCATGGGATGGGGCTGTGGGAGTGTGTGTGTGTGTGTGTGTGTGTGTGTGTGTGTGTGTGTGTGTGTAAGAGCCCTTCCTAGCCTGCCCTCTGCTCAGTGCTTTGGCTATAGAGAGGCTGCACTCTGAGCTGTCTTGGGAGAGAAACACGTGCTGAGATAGTAGTTGAGACCTGATTATTTCCAAGCCAAAGAAGTGCATTGACCCCAATTTTGTTTTCATGAGCATAAATAATAGTTGATTTCTCCATCCTTATAAGTAAGTGGTTATTTTGCTCTGTGACATGTTAAGAAGAGATGTTCAGATTTTCAGTGACTGACACTATGGAATCTAGCATACTTCTTTTTATTTCTGTTTTATAAAGAGAAAACCAAATCATATTAAAACAGAAAAATTACAGAGGATACAGTATTTAAAAAAACAAAATAATATGAATTTCACAGTGTGTGTTGTAATGCATTGTGTTTTTTCCATCTAGTTATTTATTTTACCAGATATATGTATGCAAATTTGGAAGAAGAAACAAAAAAAAAGAATTATATAAGAAATTAAAAGGCAAAAGGAGAAACAATTGAAAAAAGGAGACAAAACAAATTAAGCAATAACTATTCCTATCTGTAGGCCAGTGTAAATCTATAGTACAGTGGTCCAAACCATCCTGCTTACACACATAGTTATATCTCTTTCCCCCACTACCTCTTCTGTTTTCTCCTCAACTCAGTAACTCCTTCTTTTTGTACAGGTTTATTTCCTTTTTCTAGTATCTATTATGCCCTTGAGATTCCACTTTCTCTTTCAGTTTCTCATACAAAGGAGACAGTATGATGTTTGCACATGCAGGTCTGATTTATTTCACTTAAGAATATGGTCTCTAGTTGCATCCATTTACTAACAAAAGGCTCAAATTTGTTTTATAGCAGAATAATACTCCATAGTGTAAAAATACTGCATATTCTTCATCCATTCCATTGTTGACAGGCATCTGGGTGGTTTCCACGATTTAGCTATGACAAATTCCACTGCTGTTCACATAGGTGCACAAATGTCACTCTGGTATGATTTCATACATCATAGAGTACTTTTCCTTTTTGTTTGTTTGTTTAATGTATTTAGAACAGGATCTACAGGGTCTCACTACACAGATTGGACTCATAGTGATCATGCCGTTTTCTTTCAGCTTCCCAAGCACTGAGATTGCAGGCGTAAGCCGCCATACCCAGTTTCAATCATCATCTCAGTGAGCCCAGGTGGCAGGCCAGTATAGAATGCTGGGATTGAATTCAGATCCCTGCATCTCGCTAAGCAAGTGCTTTAATTGGGTGAGCTATCTGTCGGCCCATAGCATACTTCTTACAAAATTTGTGTAGACCAAGGTTTAGAAACAGCAATAGAATTTGGTAAATTGTATCAGTAAGTCTCATCAATGTTGCTATAGTGAAATCCTTTAGAGTCAGACTAAAACAATAATTGCCAGTTTAGTGTGGAATCTGTGTTGGTGTGTGTGGCTACATATATATTCATTCTGTCTGGGGCCATGGGCTATGACTGAGAAAAGTATACTTCTCTGAGTTTATGACCATCTCTAAAATAATTTTTTCCTTCTCAGGCACCAGTTCAGCCTCAACCTATGTCCCTGGCAACTTCTTATATCAGATGCTCTGCGTCATCTTTGGATCCCTTCTCTTGACCATCCTCATTATCTTGGGAATTCTTCTGGGCAGATGGAGAGCAGGCAATCGAGGTGGAGTTTAAGGGTGAAGCTGATCTTGAAAGTATACAGGGAAAGACTGAACTAGATATGACTTTTTTTTTACAAAAAAAGTACAGGTGACTAGCTTCCATTCTTGTTTTCTGGGAGACTATATTCTGAATTATAGACTTCAAGAATGAAAAGAGTTAAATACTTGGGCTTAATTTAATGTGGAAGCTCTCAAATATGACAGTGTAAATGAAAAATGTCAGCAAAACTGCCTAGAGCATAATTAGGATCGTAAGACCTATTTTGTTGCTTTAGAATACAAAGTTAAAGAATGGATGCTGGCAATCCAGAGAGATTTCCCCAAAGTGATCACTGGGAAACACAATGATTGTCTGATTGTAAGACATGTACCTCTAAACTCCTGTTGCTTTCTCCAGGCTTGAGCACTGAAGATGCTGTTGATGAGGCCTTGTACCAAGAGATAGAGTACTTTGAGAAAACAGAAAGGACAGATCTTCTGGACAAAGCAGGTGTGTTATACACCCGCCTTTTTTGTTCATGAATTTGTCATCAGTGTGCAAATCTTCAACAAGCACAAACCCACTGTTCAATCAACCCCACAGGATGTACTAGTTGTCTTTCCATTAATGCAATAAAATTCATGATGTAATCAAAGTATAAGGAGAAAAATTTAATTTTGCTTTATTGCTTTATACATTTCAGTACATGAACACATGGAGTCATTACTGCATATAGTGGAACAAATTTCTCACCTTATGATCACGAGGAATCAAAAAGTTTAAGGGGAGGTCAATGTTATACATTATTGTGAAGGTGTTTAAGATTTCCCACCAACCTCACTTAAAGTTTCTCCCACATTCATACAGCACAAACCTGAAGAAATAGCTTTAAATACATGAGCCATTGTATAATATTTGAAAAATAAATCACAACACATGATTGGTATCTTCCTAAGTCCTTTATATACAAAAATAAAGCCTCAATATTTTCTGTGAACCATCCTAGAGTAATCCTCTTATAGTGGGAATTGTGACTGATGACTCAGAAACTAAGCTGTTGTATTACACAGGAGAAAATAAGCAGGATGGAGTTTGTGAATCTTCCCCAGGAAGCAAAGCATTGTCCTCTCTTGGCTGATAGAGTGAGCAGGAAGAATCTCCTGGAGGAGAATATCCTGTTGTGATGGAAAACATTGTTTTTCTCTGATTCACCTTTTGTCCTCATCTACTCACTCTAAGACCTGAGAGAAAGGAATTGTGTAGTTACTTTTTATATCCAGAACTACTTATAGTAGGCCAAAAGCATATCTAAGATATTTTATTATACTGAAAAAAATTTGTTTTAAAAATAAGATTTGAAAGAGAACCTGTCAAAGACTGCAGTGGTAGACATTAAGAAAAATGGTTTTCAGGGTCAGGGAGATGGCTCAGCAGAATAAACGCTTCCCTGGCAAGCGCAAGGCCTTGAGTTCAATCCCCTAGTTCTGCAAAAAAAAAAAAAGTCTAAAAATTAAAAATACAGTAATTTAGGGGCCAGGGAGATAGCTCACTAGAATAAGAGCTTGCCTGGCAAGTGTAAGGTCCTGGGTTCAATCCCTCGTTCTGCAAAATAACGAAAAAAAAAA